CTCCTCCTCCTCCCCCTCCCCTTCTTGTTTTTCTTAGGCTATATTTTCTTCCAGTCATTTTATTTATTTATTTATTTATTTTTTCCCTTTTAGGGTCCATTCTCCAATGTTCAGCATGTGTTGATTTGTTTTAATGGATTTGTATATCGAATGGCGGTCAATGAAGCATCAGTAATTCAAACATTATGCTGGAGCAATCATACATTCCCTCTGTGCTCAACATATTGAAACATGTTGCCAATAGCGCCACCATGTGGTCACTTGCGTACATGTTTCCCATTCTAACCTCTCACGCTAGAAACTTTATTTTATTTATTTTACATTCAGCTTTTTTATATACTACATATGAAATAATAACGAATAAGTTATTTTTATTTTATATATATTTCTCAATTTTTAAGAATATTTATGAAAGCAACAATATCTCAAATGCAAAAAACCCCAAACATTTCACAGTAACTAATTATTCACAGTTACTAGTATCAATGTAGGAGAACCTAATGTACAGTTGCTCAGCAGAACTCAGCATACAATTTAAAGTCCCATGCAGGGATGCAAAATGTAGTTTAGTAGTAGTAGTAGTAGTAGGATCACACTTCTTTACCGACATATTTGCATTCAGTATTCAGTATGACTATAAGCACAGAGACTATAACCACGTTGTACTCTGGCTTTGTACTGCAGCCTAGTCATTACCACAGTATTAGCTATGGCTAGCTAAATGTCGACAATGCCATAAAACAGGAGCAGCTGTATGGAAGGCTGCTGACAATTTTTATGCTCTTTTATCGTAAATTTGCAAATTACATATAACAGAAGCAGTAGGCCTTTAAGCATTAAGCAGTAAAAAAATATGACAACCAAGTCAAGACAATATTTGTATCTCTTTAAAAGCGTGAATTATGATATATTAAACATTTATGTTGAATTTAAATGTTTAAATTCGAATAACATTTTTTTCCCATTAATAATGTGTTTGGCGTGACTTTTGTTTGTTATATCAAAAATCTCAGAAGTTGTTGTATTCTTGTGCTAGACGACCAACTGGTCCTGGGTTTGCTGTGTGGTAATTTGATTAAAACCCTTCATTTGTGAAGGAGAGGGCAGTGGCGTTTTGGAAAAGGAGAGGGCGGGGGAGGCCTTTTATTGTTTTTCTCAGCCATGAGAAACTTTATTTAAGAGAAAATGACTATTTTGTGCACCATGGAAAGCTGTGAAGAAACACTTGAATGTGAAGATTGAATACACCTGTTACATGTAAAAAATATAGTTATCAAAATGAATAAAGATAATAATCTAAAACCTGTTAACGTTTCAAGGGAAATTATTTCACTTTATATAGACAGGTGGACATTTTTTCACCTGAATATCACTAAAACCACTCTAACGGACTCAGGCTATTAAAAGTAATACGATTTGAAAAAAGTGGAAAATTCTGAGAGCAAAATCCACACACCTCTCCTCCATGAAATCAATTTCACTTTAATCCATCTAAGTTGCATTGAGTGGCATGCTGACAACATATCAGCTGGTATGGAAGCCCATTCCTGCCACTCCAAATGGTTTTCATTATTATTATAAAGTGTTTTTTCTTATAATTATGAGGCAGGTACTTCTTCTTCTGTTTTCTGTTGGACTGTTTACCATAAATACTTAGATGAAACATAAACTGTTTTAATGGACATGGGCCGAAACAATAACAATAGCATAAGTGTTAAACCTTGAAGTACTAATGGTGGCCCAAAGGTTTGAGAGTTGTGCTTGTGACCAGGAGGTTTGTAGTTTGATTTCTGGGCTGGCAGGATAAGTTTGGGTAGTCAAAATAAATTATTGTGTTGATTTAAAACAGAACTGACAGGGGAATTAGAATGCTGATGTTCTGTTCTCTGACATCATAATGGACTCAGTTGCACAAATGCAGCTGAACAGAATTCTGGCCTCATTCCTAAATCAACCTTTGGAGAAGTAAGACCATTTTACATCTTTTTACATAAAAAAAAACAACCACTTTTTACTTGAGTTTGTATGCTTAGTAGAACTGTATTGTGTTGGGGAAGAAGCAGATTCATTTCCCTGCATTGTGCTGTCAGTTAAATTACTTACTTGTATTACTTTTTCATTAGTTTCATTACAAATACAATTACAGTCAAATGTGCATCTTTTACTGTAATGAGATGCAAATACATATTTTGTCTTGCATAACACAATTTTAATCTGTAAACTTTCTTTTACTTATTTGCATGTGTGCAAAATATTTGTATTCTCTTGGAGCACTACCCTAAACCCTACTGGAAACAGAAAATGTCAGATTTCCTCACTTAATCTGCTACACCTACTAGATTAATGAGATCCACCTCATATGTGGTCATCTTAGTCTTAAGACTTTGATGATGCTAAATAGTGAAACTTGTGATTTTTCATCAAATGTTGTTGCCATAACGACTCAATATTCACCATGAAACAGCAAGTTGTTGTACATGGTCAAATCTGCCCAAAACTTCACCTTGATGAGATTCCCGGCCTGAGCAGGGGCGTAGACTTTTTTGACTGGGGTGGCCCAAGTTAGACAATGACTTATGCAAGGGTGGCATGAAGTATATGTGCACCTGCACATATTATTGAGATATCTTGAGCTGAGAGTTCAGGACCGCTTCAAAAATGACCATGCCATTAATGCCATTTTTCGGTCACTAAAAATTTAGCCCCCTTCCCGAAAGACAGTGCAGAGTAGAAGAGGTAAGGATAATGGGGTGGCACTTGGGATGGCCAATCAGATTTCAGTGGTGGCCAGTGCCATGGTTGTGGCAATGAATATAATGATTTTAGATCATTACATAGCAGATAACACGTCTTGATTTTAATATAAAACTACAATATAGTCTTAAGCCTTTTCCGTGTTTTGGTGTGATAGTTTTAGTAGACTCAGTGTACTGGCTAAATCAAAAATGTCATTACAAGTGAAATGACTGCTGTTTGTGTCTGCAGTTCAATAACATTGGTACAGGAAAACCTCACTGAGAGAATGTTTAGATCCAGTTCTGGAGTAAAACATAATGCAAGACCTCGCTGATAAACGCAGGGGTGAGACCCCTTCATCTCCTGGAGACCACGGCCCTCCCACGATCTGGAAGGAGCGCAGACGAAGGGGTGAGAGACTTTTGTCTAGTGAGGACATCAACCCTTTCATGATCTTGGAGGAGCACGAGCAAAGGGGTGAGAGACCTTCGACACATTTTTTCATTTTGTTTTAAATAAACAAATTAATCCATGTTAGTTACATGATTCACATAAACTTTTAAAATCTAAAATAATAATAAAATGTATGGAAAAACTGACTGCATAGTAAATTAATTTGTTTAACAACACAAAACTGCACATCACAACATCCTTGGAAAAATCCATGTGTGCATCCTGACAAAGCAAAAGCGACCTTTCAGTTGTGTGATTTATAGCTAGGGGATTTCAAGTGGTTGCCAAAGCATTGATAGGTGGTTGCTACATGTAGATAATGATAATTTTGATCACAGAAGGTCATTTGGATGGCAAATGTTGAATTATTGCTGCTGTCTTTCACAAAAGTGTAGGCGATTAGTATTAAAATATAGACTACATTCTTGTCTCAAAAAATACAACACATAATACGACAAGATAATGGACCAATCTCAATTTTATGTGTGCATGCAAAGCAATTGATGCTTGTCGGTTGCCTGGGTTTGCTATAGTGTTTGGGGTAGGTGAATGCTGCATGGCATTGGTTGCAAGGCACTCGTGATGCCACTGTGCGCTACCCGAGTCCTCTAGCACTTCCTCCTCCACAGACGGCATCTTGATCGTTCAAGTTTTCTCTCCACTGCCCGACTATGAGGCCAGAGACTGGCGAACTCCGAAGGGAGCCAAACCTTTCTGTAAAAACCTGATAATGAATCGTCCTATCCCTCCCTTCTGTCAGTACGTTTAAGTCTGTCCTGTGAAACATCACAATCCTCTGCATCACTTTGTGAGTAATACTTGTAGGATCTCACTGTTGCTGCCCCTGTAAAGATAAATCCTCACTGTTAGTTAGTCCATTGTCCTGCTATCAAGACACTGATAGTTTGACAATGTAGACATAACCTCTGACAGAAAGATGGGCAAAGCTTCCCATGAACCTCCAAGCTCTGACTGGTCCATTTATTTGTTAGTGTTGTGTTAGGGTTGGGTCTTCTGTTGGGTTATTTCAGTTTTGATCCTGTTTTAATTTCAGTTTTACACTTTACACGTTTTGTTATTCAGCAGAATGGATTTGTTTTCAAGAACTGTCTCTCAAATTATGTCTGTCAGTGGTTTTTTCATTTTAATTTTTTGTTGTCATGCAACCCACTGTAAACACATTAATCATTGTTTTAATCTGAAAATCATCCTTTTAAAGACTTTGAGCCAGAAAATGTTTTGGTGTATTTAATTTGTCCAAGATTCATGAAGTTAGAAACTCCTGCTTTTGCTTTTCTGTTCCTTTTTAATGGATACTATCACAATATTTGATTATGTTGTTTCGTTAACACAAAATACTGAAACTGTATCACATCATCAGGAGACAAACTTTACTAATTAAAGCCGTTAATGATCCTGGTGATCAGCATCTTGATTTGAGTCATCATCAGTCATCAGTTTTAGTTTTGATATTTTTGGATCATCTGATGAGTTATTTCAGTTTTGAATCTCATGTTTATTTTTTAGTAGAGTTTTATTTTAATTCAGTCTTTAATTCTTACAGTGCTTCTTCACACTATATGAGTGTATACATGGTTAATAACATAAACAATGAATGGAAATGTCCACTTAATGACATGGCAAGGACCCAGCTTACATGGGTTCTGCGATCCCCCAGGTGAGCTACGTGTGCCCTAATACTAATTAATGAATATTTTCTGTTTTTTAACTAACAATTGCATATACAGAAAGTTATGATTTGACCTCTCAAGTTTTAGAAAATACTTAAAAAATAAATTGCACATACATTTGGCCGCATTGACTTGTGATGAAGAGCTAAAAGCTATGTTACCTGACAATATATAGATATATATATGAATATGCAGACATATTAGCAGAACATGTTTCCTTTTAAAGTGACTGAAAAATAAAAATGTTGTAAAACTGGTTTAGTGTCAGTCAGCCTGTTAAAATGTTCAGTCCTCTTTACATTAAAATACTACAGTCCTCTCCTTGTCAGTTTGTGACAATTTCTGTTTTTATGTTGCCTTTTATCTTATTTTTGTCAACTGCCTGTACAAGAAAATTAAATTGTTCTGAATCAAAAGAAAAATTTTAAACTTTGAATGACATCCTGACAACTCCATCTGCTGGTGGCAAAATGACATGACAGCATTTCTTACAGGTAATAATTCACCTGTGACTGAAAGTAAGTGAAAGCAGATTTTGACATTGTTGAACAGGGTTAGGGTTAGGGTTATTACACGCAGGGTGAGATCTTCACTGAAAACACATGTTTGGAATATTTTAAACAACCAAGAGACAGCAAGTCCAGCTGAAAATATCTTCAATAACAAATGGCTGAGAGAGCTCTTTTTGAAAGTTTCCTAAACTGCCATGTGATGTGTGTTCAGAGACTTTCAGAAATCCCATGTCTCTGAGCTGCAATCACAGCTGCCTGCAAAAGTTCTGGGAACAAGCTAAAAACAAAAACTGTCCCATTTGTAAAAAAAAAAAAACCTCAAAAGAAAGCAGGCTGACTCCTTTGCTGCGAGAAAGAAATCTGGATCATCTGAGACAGAAAAAGGAGAGAAGAAGGTGGTGATAAACATCAAGAAGAGCCTAAATTGTTCTGTAAGGATGAAGATAGAGCTGTGTGTACTGTCTGTGATTTTCTCACCACGTCGGTCACAAGGCACAAGGTGGTTCTATAGAACGAGCAGTCAGTGACCTCTGAAGGGACCAGGTGAAACTGACTTAAGTCTCTACAGGCAAGGAGGACAAATACAAACAATGGGAGAAAATCGACATTAAAGGATTCAACACACTCCAAGAAGCAGCTGTTGTCCACAGAGACGGCAAGTATCAGAGCAGAGTGTCAACAAGCTCCACCGAGTTTCATGGAAGAGGAGAGGATCCAGACTGGCAGCTCTAGAGGAGGGAAGGAGGGGCAGGAAGGGGAAGACTTTATCGAAGGGAGATGGAAAGGGGATTTGAGGAGCAGTTCCCTCTCTGTCAGACAGTAATCCTTGGCTGGTCTGAAGAGTGCTGCAGAACACACGTGCCATTCCTCAGCAATTTATCAAAACCCACTCAGACCAGAGCCATGAGTCCCTCAGTATACAGGGTCCACAAGGCTCGGTCTGGAGCACTTGATACGACTGTGGCCAAACACGCTGGGCAACCTGTCCTTAGGTTTCTTGGGGAAGATGAAGGACAACTTCAGTCCTGTCATTCTTTGAACTGAACTTTTGTGGGTTTGTCCATTTCTTTTTTATAAGTATTCAGATTAGAATAAATTCCTTTTTGTAATCTAATTGATTACATTACTAATATGCATGGGATGATATCAACATTTTATGTCACAATTATCTTGGCCAAAATAACTGGGATATACGATATTATCATATAATCATGAAAACATACTTCATACTTTTAAAATGACACTAAAACATACTTGACTCACTTTACCTTCACCGATAGGCCCCGCATCTCCCTGTTGTTTATTTTGGAATCTATACTATTTTAATACAAATTGTTTAGTTTTTTTTGGGTCACATGATGACAGGATTAGGATGAATGGAATGACTGTAAAGAGAGCTAGACAGCTACTTCAAGTCAATTATCACGATAATGGAAACACACCACGATAAATTTATCTGAGTGTTTCTTATTGTGATACACAATTAAATCATGTATTGTGCCATCCCGAGTTACTAACTGCAAAAACTGTCTTGGTTTAGTTATTATGATTAGCAACGCAGCAGGTGCACTAAACCCTTGACCTATCTCTAGGTGTTCTCATTCGACTCTGGGCTTAATGGAAATCAAACATGTTTTCTTGGAGATCAACTGTTTCTTTAACTTTCTTTTCCTGGATATATAGATTGAATTTATGTGGCATCAACACTACATTTTATTCTCTACCTGTTTTTTTTCTTTTTTCTTTTACCTGTCATTTCACATTGTTTCCAGCTTTCTTTCTGAACACAGTGCATCTGTTTTTGGTGTTAAAAGAGCACTTTGTGCATAATCTCTCTTTTTCTCGATCATTTAACTGCTGCTACATTAACACCATACAGTACAATTGGATGCTTGAATATTACAGTCATAAATATCAGATCCCCACTTCCGGCTTCCCACTCGCCACTAACCATGACCGCACATACACGTACTTTGACCAATCACGTATCGACTTTTAGTTCCGTATTTTAGGACTTGTCAAGCTGTGATTGGTTGAACCCGGCAGTAACGTTTGAAAGTGACTGTTCATCCTCCTCAGTGTCTGCGAACAGAGACACAAAGATGGAGATAATTCACGCTGTCCATGTTTTTGTCAAATCTCTGCTGTTTGCGCTGCTGTGGTCAAACTGTGAAGGAAGAGAGTCGGAGCTCAACTATGTGACCTGCGGCTCGCTGGTCAAACTGCTCAACACCAGACACAACGTCCGCCTGCACTCCCACGATGTCAAATATGGCTCAGGTAACTTCACTCAGTGGCCTTTAGTCTATCTGTACTTCCATTCAGACACATTAGCTTTAAAGCCCGCGACAGCAACGAACAACCAACGGGTTGCGTTTGTCTGTCCGACCGCACTTGTTTAGAGGACCGAATGTTGAATTTCATTCAAAATTCAGACAAATTAAAATTGCCTTGCTCCTCTGCAAACATAACCCAAACCACGACTCATACTAAACGCAAGGCCTCTTATGTTTGGACTTGGTGGTGGATTCGGCATTAAGAAGATTTAGTAAGCAGTTGTGTATTTCTTAAAACGTCAACCGGTATCGTTACCTGACACCGGCTCACGACCGCCGCCACCCACTGCGGTCTATCGGGATGGAAGAGCACTGTGGGAATGACAGGTGGTAAACACATGCTATAACTTCAAATTGAATCGATACAGACGTTCTTGTCCTACGACGAAATTAACAAGAGTTGCTACACATTTTTGAAATGTATTATGTAATCTGTCAGGGTTATTTTGTCTTGATGTGAAGCAGAAAAAATATTAAATTGTCATTTCTATCAATGCAGTTTGGCATTGTTTTCCGCATACCTAATGACAGGATGTCAGCTAAGCAACCAGTTCAAATGTGAGTCCAGAGAATCAAATGCGTCAACTGTATGTCTCTATATAAAACATAGTAGTAGTTTCTCCTCAGGAATGAATTCAAATATATTAGTTTGTCTTTTATGCCGGTGTCAATTCTTCAAAAATGTAAACCACCGGACTTCCTGTCCAACCTGTCAAAGTAAAGCACATTTTAAAGTTAATACTGTAGCAAGTTGAAAATAATGCTTTAGATTGAGATTAGATTGGGATAACTGCTCTCTTGACTGTCTATTTATTTCACACTACATATTCTTGGAGAGATGTTCTATTCTATCTAGAGATGATTATAATTACTACATTACTTACATAATGATAAAAATGACCATTTATTCACTTTTATTTCGCAGTTCTGTTAATCCTGCTGTTTTGTGTTCCTCTGTTAGTTCTGTATTTCATTTTTCCATTTTACATCTGCTCATTTCCTGGTCATGTGTTTATAGTCCTCCCATTTACTCCACTGGCCTTCCATCTTCTCCTGTTACCATTTACCAATGCAATTACCTAATTTCCCCACATGAATCATTATTTGGATAGGTAATCCACCTGAACTCCTTTATCTCTTCTGTCTGCTTGTTCTAATTTGGAACTTGTGAAGCTCTACTATTATCCAGGGCTTTAACTAATGATTATTTTCATTATCGATTAATCTGTGGATAATTTTTTCAGTTAATCCGTTAGTTGTTTGGTCCACTAAATGTCAGGAAATGGTGAAAAATGGTGATCACTGTTTCCCAAAGCCCAAGGTAACGTCCTCAAATGTCTTGTTTTTATTTTATTAAGAAAATATTCACATTGGAGAAGCTGAAATCAGAGAATTTGGACAGTTTTTCTTAAAAAATGACTCCCAACAATTAATCAATTATCAAATTAATTTAATAGTTCAAAACTAATTGATAAATTAACAAATTTTAGCTGTGTATTATTACTTCCTGTATCTAACCAGCAAAGCTGTATATCTGTTCACATATATTCACACATAAGAGACGTGTACCTTTGTCAAGTAGAGGGCCTGAAAGTGATACAGGAACAGTCTGAAGGCAAATCAGCCTCCACCCACACAGGAAAACACAGAGCGCTGACACTGCAGAACTGGCTGGTAACATTCCACTAATAATGACCGAAAGCATCAAATATTCCTGAGACTGTTAACAACACATTGTATTTGTGTAATAAATTAGGTGCAATATAAAAGTTGACTTGCTAATATACTGTATCACACACCTGCTGAATCTTCTGGTGCAGAAGAACAACTTTGATGTTAAGTTCTGTTACTTTCATGTGTTGTGTGATAGTAAGTTAACACAGGTGTACATTCATCCAAAGTCACATGACTGTATTTAGAGTCACCATAAGCTGATTGAGACCTGCAGTTTCAAAACACTAACCTTATTTGTATTCGTATTTCCCATCATTAAACTTTACCACTAAACTGCAAAAAGTTCTTGTTTTTAAAAGCAACTTTATGAAGAGGAAATACTTCATTATTATGTTATTATGTAGCTCAATTACTAAATAGGCATTCTAACTAACTCATTCATGCACATTCACACCGATGCACAGCATTTGGAGCGATTCGGGGTTCAGTATCTTACTCAAGGATACTTCGACATGCAGCGGGATAACTAGAGTTCTTCAATCTGACATGCTAAATAGATCTCGTGTGTGTGTGCGTGTGTGTGTGCGTGTGTGCGCAGGCAGTGGACAGCAGTCTGTAACCGGAGTGGAGAATGCAGATGATGCCAACAGTTATTGGCAGATTCGTGGGAAGCCCAACCGCCCATGTCAGCGCGGGACGGCCATCAAGTGTGGTCAGACCATCCGCATCACACACATGAAGACTGGCCGAAATCTCCACACACACCACTTCAGCTCGCCTCTGTCTAATAACCAGGTCAGACAGTGGTACACACTCACTGTTCTTGTATTTGGAGTTCTGTGGCACAGAGGAAGAAGATATATCAGGCTTTGATAAACAATGTGTGTTAGTAGATACATTCACATTGGTTTAGCTCTGCACATTTACTGACAACTGTACAAATCTTTTTCTTTTCCTCCGCCTGTCTGCAGGAAGTCAGCGCCTTTGGAGAGAACGGCGAGGGCGATGACCTGGACGTGTGGTCGGTGCAGTGCGACGGCGACCACTGGGAGCGTGACGAGGACGTGCGTTTCAAGCACGTGGGCACTGACGTTTTCCTGAGCGTGACCGGTGAGCAGTACGGCCACCCCATCCGCGGCCAGCGCGAGGTGCACGGCATGAGCTCTCCCAGCCAGCACAACTGGTGGCGCTCCATGGAGGGCGTCTTCATCCAACCCAGCCAGGAGCCGCTGCGCCACGACGAGCTCTGATCGTCGCACTGAGAAACAAAGCATGGATTCCTGTTTTCTAGCGCGCCTGGACCAAATGTAGAATACTTGACTGATGACTCATGCGTGTACATGTGAAGCACTCAGGGTGTTCTGAGACGAGGGGGTAATGTTAACAGTTTGATTGAGGTTAGTGATACTGTATGTAGTGTAGACACATGCTCTATTTATTCTATCAGCTTCCTCAGAGAATTTCATAAGGGCAATATACTTTTTGTGAAAAAATTAAGGCTGGATTACCAGCAGGGTATAACAACTACCATGGGGCCCCCAGGAGCCCAGAAAGCCCCACATTCACTGTTGTAATTTGATTGATTGTGTTCAGAAATACACACACCAAAGAACAATACCAATTTTTTACCATTTATTTTAGTTGATATTGCTCAAAGAAAATGTCAGACATTCTATGGTGTTGCTGCTTTCCTCTGTTTTCTGTCACAGTGAACAGAATCACTTACTGCATGGCGTCACCTTGGACCTTTGGACTGTGACGGACATTTTCTACTATGGCCCGACATTTTATCGACTAAACAATTAATCAGGACAATAACGATCAGATTATTTACAGGTTTGCAGGTCTAGAAAATCAGTAGTTTCACTGATAAGGACAATCTTTGGGTTTTCAAGGAAAAAACATTTTTTTCCCTCTAGCTATTCATATTAAAAATAAATAATTCTAACATTTTCTTAAGGATTAATGAAACCTTTGTTTGATAACCTTTACAGTTATCTACCAATATTCACGCATTAGTTAAGTTGTACAAGTTGCACTTGTGAATTGTGAATACAGTTTGGCTTGATAGAAACTGCAGATAAAGCTGACAACAGAGAGGGACTGCAGCTTTTTGAGTGTTTTTAGCTGAGATTAAGTCCTTCCCTACCTGAGCAGCTTTAAAGCTAGTTTCATCCTGATGTGGGCTCTTTACACTCAGAGTGGACCAACACAGACGAGTAGATCCCATTTTAGAACAAACCTAATCCTGTCCACTGTGGTAATGTGATATATTCTCACCGTGTAACAGTTTCAAATCTCTTGTGTGACGGCAACTTGTATTTATGTCTTGGTAAATGTTTATGTGAAGGGAAGAGAAGTACATACTTTATAAAATTAGTACTTTTTACTGTTTTTTCCTGCTTTTAAGTTTTGTATGTTGCATCCTTTTTAAAAAATATTTGTGAACTATTATTCACAAGTTTGTTAACAAATGGAAAAATCTATCAACAATGCATAACAACAACCTCAGTCGACTCCTCGTTCTTTTCAGAGGACGCTGGAGAAGCATACACAAGAACATGACATCTGTTTGAGAGCCACACGTGTTTTTAAAAAAATAAGAAAATAAAAATGTTGGGTGTTTGAATGGAATGAGAAAGGTGACCGGTTTTGCATAAAATGACTTTATGATGACGCTGTGGTTTATGAGCTTTCATTTATTCTTACTTCAACTAACCTGGATGGAGAGGAGGCTCTGTGATGCAGGTAACATGAACTAGATTAGAGAATTAGAAAATAGATCTTTTCATGTTTTTCAAAAAGTACTATCTTCAACCCCTTCAGACCCAACATTAATTTAACCAATCTCTTAGGTGGAAGAATGCTGTTCACATCGTAATGATAATGGGAACAGATTATAATGCTCATAGTTTATATAGTTCCTCCATATGGAGAAAGCAGAATTTTACTTACTTATTTTTCCATCTATTATTATCAATTTCTTTCCAATAAACATTTTCTTACGTATGCAGCTATTACAGTGTTACCTAAAATGTGTGCAGCCAACATTTACATTTGTATAGTTTTATTGGTAGATTTAAAAGCTGTCATAACTTTTCATTCAGTGTATTCAGGTAGACTGAATGTGAAAATGTTGTTAAAGCTGAGCTAGGGAACCCTTGTGCAGACACTCCAGGAGACAGGGATTTGATAGGAGAAATGTACTCACTGCAAAGCTTGGAAGGGGGAATGCAGACCTGTGGAAGCTTGGGTTGTGGAACCAGGGTAGGGAAGCAGGGCTGACGAGACGGGGGGCTGGAGACAGGGGCAGCAGTCTCTACCGCTACCTCAAGATCCAGACCCATCAACTACTACAGCTTCTTCACAATCCTCTTCTTCACTTGAAGAAGCCGAGCAGACAACCCAGAGTCCTTTCTGTTGCAAACATATTGGCAATCCCTTCTTTAGGACCTGTTGGTGAGGTGCAAGTGCCTTTATTGTATGTATTAAATGCGTCATTGGGATTGTTTTTGATTGAGAAATCATGAGAACTTTCAAATGAGGAAAATTGTTTTTTAAAGCAATACTGTTTGTGGTAAGTTCTGATGAGTAATCAGTGACTGTATGGGTGTTACACTTAATTGGTTTGGTTCCATCAGAGTAGATCTCATTTAATGTGACAGGACTGATTCAAAGTTATTCTCTGTATCCTAATCTATGTTACAGTGCTGAGAAAGTATTCTTCACTTTCATTTTTGACATTGTCATTTTGAATGCCCAAAGGAACACGCCCATTTCATCAATGTAAATGAGTAAAGGGAAAGTCTATATTGACTTTACTGTAGAACAACCAGGAT